AATAATTCGTTTGAAAAAAAAAATTCTGTCAGATTCGAACCCAGGACCTTTACGGTCCCAGTCATTTTGATTGCCTCCAACACAAGTGTACCGGAGACGCTGAAAAATTTGAATTCGTTATGAACTGAGCCTAAATGTACCATTTCTAATTTTAACCATTGTGTGAACAAACTATTGTACGGGAAAAGTGTAGAACCCGACTGAAACACTTTTGCTGATCGCAAGGGTAAAAATCAATATGAAACGTGGTATTTGTATCGCAAAGTATATGTTCTTTTACTCAGAGTTTATGACTATCTAACTCCCATAATGTCGGGCAAATTTTCCTGTGAGGTTTAAGGAAATGATGGTAATAAGTAGGCACTTTTATAGAAAATTTCTGAATGTAAAATCTCAGGTCGTGGAGCGAGGAAACTTTTTTAAAAAATACATTTTCTATGTTTACATAAAAATTTACATTACCTACCATTTAATTAAACATTCTCCCATCCATACCCTTGATGCCCTGATTCCCGGTCTTGGAAGCCACTGGTATTCATAGCTGGGTATGTCTAAAGCAACCTCTGTTTCTGTCTGACCATTAAAAAAGCTCATTGTCAATATCCCAGTGCCGCACGAGGCTGACACACAAGGCATGTTATGCCCTGTGCTAAATGATGTCATTTACAGTGCCATATGCCCGAAAGATGGTTTGGACTCGTAAGGTGGTTGGTAAGGCATCTTGCCACCCTTTTGAGGGTCAAATCCTGTTGTTTCCGACCCTCTCAGTAAAGGTCTGGAAGACTAGACTCTGGTGCATTTGATTGCTTTGTTGCACTAGGCTGAGAACTTTTAACAAAGAAACTGAACTCAGCTTAAAAATATCTTAAGCCAAACGGCTAAAAATCAAAATAAAATCATAACAATCAGAACGACCTATGTAAGTGTCTGAACTACGTTCATCCACTCTTAAACACTCAACTCAACCGCAGTGTACGTACAGCAAAAAAAATCAAAAGATATGGCAACTAAGCGATCAAAACAAAAGCAGACAAAAACAATTGAAACGGAATAATTAGTTTGAAAAAAAAAAATTCTGTCAGATTCGAACCCAGGACCTTTACGGTCCCAGTCATTTTGATTGCCTCCAACACAAGTGTACCGGAGACGCTGAAAAATTTGAATTCGTTATGAACTGAGCCTAAATGTACCATTTCTAATTTTAACCATTGTGTGAACAAACTATTGTACGGGAAAAGTGTAGAACCCGACTGAAACACTTTTGCTGATCGCAAGGGTAAAAATCAATATGAAACGTGGTATTTGTATCGCAAAGTATATGTTCTTTTACTCAGAGTTTATGACTATCTAACTCCCATAATGTCGGGCAAATTTTCCTGTGAGGTTTAAGGAAATGATGGTAATAAGTAGGCGCTTTTATAGAAAATTTCTGAATGTAAAATCCCAGGTCGTGGAGCGAGGAAACTTTTTAAAAAAATACATTTTCTATGTTTACATAAAAATTTACATTACCTACCATTTAATTAAACATTCTCCCATCCATACCCTTGATGCCCTGATTCCCGGTCTTGGAAGCCACTGGTATTCATAGCTGGGTATGTCTAAAGCAACCTCTGTTTCTGTCTGACCATTAAAAAAGCTCATTGTCAATATCCCAGTGCCGCACGAGGCTGACACACAAGGCATGTTATGCCCTGTGCTAAATGATGTCATTTACAGTGCCATATGCCCGAAAGATGGTTTGGACTCGTAAGGTGGTTGGTAAGGCATCTTGCCACCCTTTTGAGGGTCAAATCCTGTTGTTTCCGACCCTCTCAGTAAAGGTCTGGAAGACTAGACTCTGGTGCATTTGATTGCTTTGTTGCACTAGGCTGAGAACTTTTAACAAAGAAACTGAACTCAGCTTAAAAATATCTTAAGCCAAACGGCTAAAAATCAAAATAAAATCATAACAATCAGAACGACCTATGTAAGTGTCTGAACTACGTTCATCCACTCTTAAACACTCAACTCAACCGCAGTGTACGTACAGCAAAAAAAATCAAAAGATATGGCAACTAAGCGATCAAAACAAAAGCAGACAAAAACAATTGAAACGGAATAATTAGTTTGAAAAAAAAAAATTCTGTCAGATTCGAACCCAGGACCTTTACGGTCCCAGTCATTTTGATTGCCTCCAACACAAGTGTACCGGAGACGCTGAAAAATTTGAATTCGTTATGAACTGAGCCTAAATGTACCATTTCTAATTTTAACCATTGTGTGAACAAACTATTGTACGGGAAAAGTGTAGAACCCGACTGAAACACTTTTGCTGATCGCAAGGGTAAAAATCAATATGAAACGTGGTATTTGTATCGCAAAGTATATGTTCTTTTACTCAGAGTTTATGACTATCTAACTCCCATAATGTCGGGCAAATTTTCCTGTGAGGTTTAAGGAAATGATGGTAATAAGTAGGCGCTTTTATAGAAAATTTCTGAATGTAAAATCCCAGGTCGTGGAGCGAGGAAACTTTTTAAAAAAATACATTTTCTATGTTTACATAAAAATTTACATTACCTACCATTTAATTAAACATTCTCCCATCCATACCCTTGATGCCCTGATTCCCGGTCTTGGAAGCCACTGGTATTCATAGCTGGGTATGTCTAAAGCAACCTCTGTTTCTGTCTGACCATTAAAAAAGCTCATTGTCAATATCCCAGTGCCGCACGAGGCTGACACACAAGGCATGTTAGGCCCTGTGCTAAATGATGTCATTTACAGTGCCATATGCCCGAAAGATGGTTTGGACTCGTAAGGTGGGTGGTTAGGCACCTTGCCACCCTTTTAAGAGTCAAATCCTGGTGTTTCTGACCCCCTCAGTAAAGGTCTGGAAGACTAGACTCTGGTGCATTTGATTGCTTTGTTGCACTAGGCTGAGAACTTCTAACAAAGAAACTGAACTCAGCTTAAAAATATCTTAAGCCAAACGGCTAAAAATCAACATAAAATCATAACAATCAGGACGACCTATGTAAGTGTCTGAACTACGTTCATCCACTCCTAAACACTCAACTCAACCGCAGTGTACGTACAGCAAAAAAAAAAATCAAAAGATATGGCAACTAAGCGAACAAAACAAAAGCAGACAAAAACAATTGAAACGGAATAATTCGTTTGAAAAAAAAATTCTGTCAGATTCGAACCCAGGACCTTTACGGTCCCAGTCATTTTGATTGCCTCCAACACAAGTGTACCGGAGACGCTGAAAAATTTGAATTCGTTATGAACTGAGCCTAAATGTACCATTTCTAATTTTAACCATTGTGTGAACAAACTATTGTACGGGAAAAGTGTAGAACCCGACTGAAACACTTTTGCTGACGCAAGGGTAAAAATCAATATGAAACGTGGTATTTGTATCGCAAAGTATATGTTCTTTTACTCAGACTTTATGACTATCTAACTCCCATAATGTCGGGCAAATTTTCCTGAGAGGTTTAAGGAAATGATGGTAATAAGTAGGCACTTTTATAGAAAATTTCTGAATGTAAAATCCCAGGTCGTGGAGCGAGGAAACTTTTTAAAAAAATACATTTTCTATGTTTACATAAAAATTTACATTACCTACCATTTAATTAAACATTCTCCCATCCATACGCTTGATGCCCTGCGAACTATAGCAATGGTCCTACCAGAGGTAGAAACAAATTGATGAAATTTTTTTTTGAAACAGCAACCCAATGTTTTTAAAAAAGAAGCGAAGTTTCACTTCCATACACAAGCAAAAATACCACCGATAACGCTACTGGGAAAAACTGAATGATTAAAAGTTTGAGTCTTCAAAACTTCTTAAGTGACGAACGCCAATTATGAGTCTAACATAATTGCTAAGTGACGCAAGCCAATTATGAGGCATTAGCAGTACCTGTCGATATGAAAGAAATTTACCAACTGATATGCCTCAATTTAAAGAGCGGGCTCATTTTAACTAGTATACGAAAAAGTTCATTAAAAACATCCGACCATGACCAGGTTCGAAGCCTCTATTTTGTTGTGGGTCCACGTCCCTACCTCTACGCTACAGATCCGTGATACCTTGAAGCTAAAGTGCTATTTGTAATATAATAGTCTATGTTAATATCCTTAGCATTGGCTGTACTTAATAGCTGGTTATTGATCAAAATTAACACTTTCAAAATGAACAATATTTGCGACTTCGGTTGGAAAACAAGAGAGTTCATACTATCACACAAGCTTCGCCTGTGTAAAAAAACGCTCAATCTATAAAATAATTGCCTGAATTAACTAAACGCCACAGAACAGAGCCAAAAGTCAGCTGTGAAAGAGTCAATGAACGCAAGTATACAGACAAAACATACTGACTTGTTCATGGAAAAAATCTCAACTTTCGAACTTCGAGGTTAAAAAAATATGACCATAAAATTCTTTGAATTTCTAGAACAATTTATGATTGACCGTTTTTATTATTAAAATAACCCAGTTTGAGACAACTGGTTCAGTAGGTAAACGTACTAGAGATTTTTATATCGCAAAAATTTCTATTTAGCGAAAATTTTTGTTTCGATAGGAAATCTGATTATCAAATCCATTTTCTAATTTTGAAGTTGGTCGTTTTTTCTTTTGTGGCTTTTTCACTTTTGCTGTTCGATAGTGGAGTTTGCTTTTATTTTAAGAAAGGAAACAAACTGATTTTTAACAGAAATATCTCAAAATTCAAACCGCGAAAAAGTAAATTTGAGCCTGATTATTTTTAAAGGGTTTTTTTTTGAAAAGAAGAAACAAAATAAAATCATCGCGACCTATATAAGAGTCTGAACGACTTTCATCGACTCTTAACAACAAAGAGTTCATTAAAACTTTATATTTTATTTTCCGTCAAACATTGAGCTTAAGAGCATGATCTCAGCGAATTTGACTTAAATACAATCCAATTCAGAGGAGTATGCTGGAATGGAGCTGAAAAGCGACCAACCTCGAAATTAAGTGTTTACCTGATCCAGGCTCATGAAGGCCGTGTGTGAATGTCCAGGATGATGATTCTCGTCAGCTTCCAGGTGTAGCACCAGGGGCGTCGGTGTATTTTTATTTTTACCATCTTTCTTACCCTCGCTGTACTTTTCCTGGGAAAAAAAAATCGATTTAAAGGGTAAAACTGAGTTCGGAACAATAGCATTATTGAACGATTTCTGTATGTTATAACTTTGAAGAGCAGCGTATGCATAAAATATTTCATACTCGTTGAGACAAAATAGCATGACACTTCGTTTCCAAGCATCGAGTAAAATTTAGCTGACTTAGTCATACTCGAGCGATGCTATCATGTTTCTTTCATGTGCTCTTACCCATTCTTTGACCAGACCTTCGTGATCAATAGGTACTAAGGCTTCAAAATCCACCGGAGCACCGTCTGTTGGCTTTTCAAACTTCATCTCGTGTAATATCTCTCCATTGAAGCTACATATTCAAAAAATATATAGAGAAATAACTTAATAGCAAAATGAATTTCTCTCATCAAAATTTGGAAGATGACTCATAATAAAGATACTTAAATAATCGCATACCATAGCTTGCCGTCCATGAACACTTCAGTGGCTCTTTGATACAAGGTTGCTCTACCTGGAACATCTGTAACAAAACTGCAACTGAAAATGTACTGATTTAACTCTTGTTCCTGAGGTCCGCTGAAGTATGTCTGCATTGCAAATCCATCGTTCACTTCTCTGAAAAAAAAATCTTGCCAGAAAAGTATTCTTTACAACTAAGATTCAGTGGTTTTAACGTACTTATTAATTTTCAATGAGTCCTTGTTAACAATAATTGAGGCACGCAATGTTGTCAGAGGCTCTTTTCCATTAGGTAGATGCCCATTGAACTGAAACAAATCACAAAAATACTCACTAATAGCACTTTCATCATAGTTTGCTAGTATTTTGTTCTTTATTGTTATAATCTTTGATCGATACATTCCACCTAGTATCTATTGTACTTCCTTAACTGTGAATTCAAGTCTTTTACTACTACTACTACTATCATCAAAAAGTACGGAAAAATATCTTTATGCCTAAATAATTATGCCTATTTCAGGAGCTTGGCGTTTACCCGCGGGCTTATAAAAGGCCATAGATACAAAATAACAGAAACAAATTTACAATGACGCCAGATACACAGAAAAACGTTACCAGATTTGCATAGAACAGAAAAAAAAGACTCATGAGCAGTACCGGGACAGGAGGAGGGTGGAGTTCCCTTTTTGCAGGACAACTGACAGATGTTGCATAAAATAGCAAGCAGCTTGCCCGGGGTCGGCACAGGCAGAGCGCGCTGCTGCCATCGAAGCAATGCGACGAATGATTTTAGCGGCAATGGGCGACCACCCACCAAGGGCCTCGACAGAGAGGGGCACAAACGAGATGCCAGCTTCTTCGCACGCGGGAAGGCGCTTTGTGAACTTTCGCTCGTCGGATACTTCGAGGGCGTGACCGGCACTAGTTCCAGGTTTTTGCAAAGTAGATGACAGCAGGGAACTAATGACGGTCATGTCCAGAGCGGCTGGACGACCTCGATAACAACAGGGGAGATAAATGTCTCCCGGGCGAGAGCGAGAAGTGAGATTGGCTTTTTCTAAAACGGGGGAGAGAGCTGCCTTAGTGGGACTGTTGAAAACGCCATCGCGCAGTCTGTCATTGCGCGATATGCGGTCTCCGTCGGCTGCGCAAGCGAGGGCGTGATCGCCAAACGTATCTAGAGTCCTGGAACATTTCGGGCACGTAGACTCGCTGTTGAGTAGGAAACTCCGAGTCGATAGCAAACTGCAAACCGAAACTCGGCTGCAGGAAGGGTTAACCCTGGCGCCTTCAGACCCGAAAGCCAGTCACCACTGTTGGGGAGCGAACAGGAGAGCAGTCTGACTGTCTCGGGGCGTAGAGGCGGATGACGTGAGCTCGGACCAAGACTTGGAATCAACTAGGCTTGAAAGTTTCATTTGTGCTTTGGGGGCCATTAAAAGAATGTCAGCGTTGTCACTTAGAAACTCGAGGGAGGACGAACAATTCAACACGGTGGAGGGCACCGTGGTGTTGTGAAAGATCCGGTCAGAGAAATTTGGTGTCAAGGTAGCACCCGAGGAAGGCCACTGGGGCAATCGAAGAAGAAATTGGAAGCCCGAGGACACCTTTAGCCACAGGCAGTGAACACTGCAGGCGTTGAGACGGCGACAGGGCTGAATCAGTAATGGACTCGAGACATAAGTGAACGGCATTGTCAGAAGGGATCGCAAGTCTCTTTTCAAGAACAGGGCTTGGATAAAGTCGTCGTTAGTCGAAATGGCAGCGCCCAGGTTCTTCAAACCACTGCTCCGAACGGTAATGGCATTAGGAAGAGCACTAAAATCCAGGTTGGGGTTGGGAGACCAAGCTTCACACTTCTCAACGCTGACCTCCAAGCCGATTTAGCCATAGACGAAACCAAATGCGGAAAAACCTGAGCAAGGAGATTAACATCGCCGACAAGGGAACCATCGTCTAAGTACCAGACGTTACAGGCGAGATCAGGAAATTGGTTCCTAAGAGCTACAATGATGGGATGAATCGTAATGGCAAACAAGCGAGGAGCCAGTGGGTCAGCTGTCACCTTCCTGGACGCCACACGCGGATAGAACAAGGGAATTACCGAATTTCAGCCAGGATGGTTGGCTATAGCAGAACTCGACCCACCGGAGAAGCTCTGGAAACTGGTCGGCAACCTGCCGAAGAATAGAGAACCGGTCGAGGGTATTAAAGGCGTTTTTCAGATCGACCTGGAGAATAGCCAAAGAAGATGTGTCACCCACGGGAGCAACGAGCCCGTTCAGCGCGTGAGAAACGGCTTCACAGCCACCAGGAACGCCCACTCCGACCAGAAGAGGAACGAGCAAAGAGGCGGCTTTCTGGCTAGAAAGACGACAAAGGCACTTGGCAACAAGTCTGCGCAAGATCTCACCAACTGCTATGGGTCTTACGCCACCATCTTTTTTATTCGGCGCAAGAAGGCTGGCTCCGCATAAGTAGGGAGCAATGGAGGTAGGCGCCTCACTACGAGCAAGAAGATTGACAACGTCGAGAACGGCAGAGATGGCTTGATCCCGGTAAGCGGGTGAAGGGCATAGAAAAGCATTAGACAAGTGTGTGGCATAAAATTTGGAGACACCTGCAGCAGAGTCTTTTGGAAAACTCTTACCACAGTTGATCAATATGTCACAGGAAATGCTGCACGGGATAAGATCTGGAGGATTATGCCTATTGAAAAATCTCCACCTAAATTATAATTTGGAGAAAATTAGGCCAATTAACTAAATTATTTTGAAAACATCGATAAACTCGTTAAGAGCGTTGTTTTCCACCCATTATAAAAAAGATCAACCGTTCAGTTCCTTCTCTCCCTGGTACACCGTAGAATGTGCTTTCCAAGCACGCATTAATTCTAAGTAAACTATGCATTTCATTTTGAAATATTTTCCTACATCACTTTGTATGTTGATGGGTAAAAAATAGTCAAATCGACGTTTAATTAAGTTTCGATGATTAAATCTGTAGTGCTAGACAACAATCTCTTCGTTAAAAAAATCTTCTGAAACAAAAATCGTATTTTCTGCCCCTAATTTACTTTAAGGGGTGTTGTAATGTTCATGCCACATTTTTATTGCACTTTGAATTGATGCATGATTTGTCTGTTTAAGTTTAAGTGTGAAAAACATCAACTCGCTAGTCACGCTAAAAGGAAACTGTTCAACTGATCCTAATACTCTACCGGAAATGCTTGGTTCTTTCCGAGATGCATCATATCCCTTCTAGACCCGAATAGCAGCCTTGAGTCAAGTTTGGCATCAACACGTCGGGTGTTGTTTCCGCCATCTGATTGTGTTTGATCTAGCTTGATTTGCTCCGAAGAAAATTTGATTCCACCGAAATAGAAGAAGTCATCAAAAAGCTCTACAAAAAAATTTGAAAATAAAAATTGTTATAAAAGCATATAGTTAACTGAACTTACCGCTATCTGGCTGATCGAATACACCATCACTCGGAGAGGAAAATATGCCACCCATCTGAAACAGCAATAAACCCCAATTCAACGAAGTGTAATCAGAAGGTCAAAAGTATCATAGAGACAGAGGTTACAGTCAGGAGTCCCTTCATCACGTATTCCAGTCAAAAACCTTGGAATTTTCTAGATATGGAAGTGATACTGATAAAAGGAGATGACAAGTGTTGATGTCCTTACAATAAAACTCGATACGGGTTACGTTTCTTCAATAAGAACACGCAACTCGACACGAAAAAATAGAATATACAAATACAATTATGTTACAAATTTCGTCAAAAGTTATTTTGTCATTTATTGTTCCGGGTATGCAAGCGGCGTTCGCAATCTGTAAAGCCAGGGAGATTAAAGCCAAGGAGATTCTCTGTTTTAAAAAGCTGCCTGCTCTGCAACTATTCAAATTCATCAATCCTTCCCAGCAGAGGATTGCTTGATTTCAATCCGATTTTAACACGCGGGATGAATTCAGGAGTAGCGAGCAAACACTTCGATTTTGGTCCAAAAAATGGAGTGCGGTCTTTATTTAGACAACCGCGTATTCATACTCGTCAGTATTTAGACAAACACTGTATGAACCAATCTCTATGAGCCATAAAAACATGTATGTAACATTCGCCCGGAAGTTGTTGTTGTGAAGTACACATCGACGGAAAATAGAGCCAAGCTATAAAACGACTGGCTAGCGTCTAATCAGAGCTCTACATGCTTTTCACCGTCTCTGCCAAAGCCAGTTCTTTCGGTGGTTTTTCAAACATCGGGTCGACAAAAACGTTACTGTTTTCCGGCTTCGACAAGAACGCTCAAATGAAATTAATTATATGCGAAAATAGTGAGCTCATGGCTGGGTCTCAGTATCCCCAGACCACGAGGTCACTCCTAAAAAAAGGGCTACTACTATCTATCATATTACTATTGTTTTTGTTCAGTGGATAAAAATCATCATCTCCATCGAAGATAGATCAACCCTTTCCCTCAACTTCTAAATCATCATAATCTGAAAACGAATGTAGATGTTATTAATTCAATTCAGGACATGACCAGAAGCTAAAAGTTGTTAATTTAACGAGTTAGTTTCCTCCCGAGGCCGCTCCGGATTCTGGAATCCGGGCAAAGAACAGTCTTAAGTGTTCCTGGAGGCTGTACACGTCGTCCAAATACCCTTCCTGGTTCTCGGGAATCGTGTTGTAACTAGTCGGTCACTGTAATATCTGTACCGCTGGTATTTCTTCCCGTGTCGTCTCTATCCACGAATATTGTTGTTGTGTGTGTTAGCACGTTTTCAGTTACTGCAAAATTTTAATATCGCGAAGTGTCTTTTCTTTTATCGAAATTTTAAAATTTTACATGTCACTCCAAATTGACCTTTCCCAATCCGTCAAAATGAACGATTAGCACCACTAATTCGTTAAAACCGTCAATCTTCCCAGTCAGATGTTTCGAAACCAAACTTGCATTTTGGTCAAAAATGCAAGTTCGGGTTCGGCAAAAAATTTCGAACCCGAACTTGCATTTTGGTACATTCTGGTCGAACTTCCCAAGTTCTTATAGAATAATGCTTAGATTTGATAGGTGAAAAGATTTTATTTTTTGTTTAAATCCACTTAATGGTCTTTTATGATGCTTTAACGTCTCTAAATCAGTTTATACCAACTCAATTATCCTGACGATGGACATAGTTCCGAAAAGGTTCGAATTCACATTTTGTGGCATTCGACCAGAATGGCCAAAATGCAATTTGTGCAGACTTCGAATTTTTAGCAGTAAGCCTTCCGGATTGGTGGTTGTTAAGAACTAGGAACGTTATTGGAGCGATTGGCCAGACGGTGAGGGCTGGAATATTCTGGTATTTTTATATTTTAAAATTTCGAATTATGACGTCATATTTCTGAGAAACGTCAGAAACGGCCATTTTGGCAGAGAAGTAAAAGAAAAAAGAGAACAACTTTATCTGCGATAGCGAACAGGACGAAAATCGAGATTAAAAACGACAACGAACTACAGAATAGCAGAGGACGTTCCGAGTTGCAACTATTGTGCTGCTACAATAGTTGCAAGGCCGTTGCGAACAACGGTGAAGGGTAAGAGACAGCCTTCCGGAATAGGAGGAAATCAAGATTAACGAGCTTCATTCAGCGGATTCGTCAATCCGGAAGGGTAAAGGAACTGAAACTTTTATCCTGCCACGTAAACTTTTAGCATCCTGTCATGTCCTGACTTGAATTTAATTGATATTTGGATTAGTTTTGACAAGGATGAGGTGCTAGGAGTTGTGGGGGAAAGGGTTGATCCATCTTCGATGGAGATGATGATTTTTATCTACTGAACAAAAACAATAATAATATAAATAGTAGTAGCCCTGTTTTCAGGAGTGACCTCGTGGTCTGGGGATACTGAGACCCAGCCATGAGCTCACTATTTCTGCATGTAATCTAGTTAATTTGAGTCTTTTGACCGAAGCCGAAGGCAATAACGTTTTTGTCGACCCGATGTTAGAAAAGACCACCGAAAAGTACTGGCTTGGTAGAGACGGTGAAAAGCATGCAAAGCTCTGTTTAGACGCTAGCCAGTCGTCTTAAGACTTAGTTTTGTTTTCCGTCGATATGTATCTTCCGGGCGAATGGAAAACAGCTGCAGTTACTCCTGTTCACAAAAAAGGTGACCGAAAAATGGTGAACAACTATCGACCAGTATCGCTATTAAATATTGACAGCAAAGTCCTTGAAAAATGTATATACAAAGACCTGTACCCTTACTTTGCCTGGTATTTGACGAAACATCAACACGGTTTTACTAAAGGTAGATCAGTCTTGACAAACATGCTCTCTTTACTGAAAGAAATATATGAAGCGCTTGACAATGACTCAAACGCAGAAATTGTAGCATTCTACACTGACTTTGCAAAAGCCTTTGATAAAGTTCCGCATTTTGATCTACTTAAGAAAGTTGCACTTATAGGAATAGGAGGCTGCATGTTAGAGGTCTCTATGACTATTTGAAAAACAGGAAACAGTTTTTACGAGTAGACAATATCAGCTCAAAAGTTTTAGAAGTCACTAGTGGTGTTCCCCAAGGATCACTTTTAGGACCACTGCTCTTTTGCATTTTTATTAACGACCTACCTGAAGTATTCAAATTCTCTGAACCATATATTTTTGCGGATGATCTTAAACTACTTTCCATCAAAAAAACATCAATTGAAATTCAAGAAGATCTGGACAAAATTCAGCAGTGGGTAACTGAAAACAAAATAGAATTAGCACTAGATAAATGTGCAAAAGTAAGTTTTAGGGGCGGAGACGCTAACTCTATGCTTTTTGGTGTAGTGCTTGGAACATCGATGGTTGTGAAAGATCTGGGAATTTTTGTGTCGGGCGATTTAAGTTGGAAGGTACACATTGAAACAAGATTAAAGAAGGCAAACCAAGTACTGTACCTCCTGAGAAGAAACCTATCAGCAAAGATAAATACATTTGTAAAGTTAGGCCTGTATAAGTCACTAATACTCCCAGTGTTATTATACGGACTCTCATGTACACATATATCGAGGGGGGATCAATTGCAGTTGGAGCGATTTCAAAAGAAAGTAATCCGTTGGATCACTGGAAATAAAACGGGAGTGTACATCAACGAACTACGCTTGCTAAACATTTTACCCCTGCCCATGTTCATCCGGCTAAATAACATCTTACTTCTTGCCAGTCTTGATTCTAATGAACGAAATGAAATAGTGTTAAACAGGCGAACCACACGGGCTAGAAATACAGAAATTTTTGAGATGCGAAAAGTGAGAACGGAAAAAGCGAGAAACGAATTTGTTTTCAGAACCAGTAGGATTGTAAATCGATTAGAACCATATATTCATTTTGATAAACGAATCGGCCTCAAGACGAGAATTTTAAACACGATGTGGAAATTTGTAAACGAGAGATTTTCAGAAATGACAACGTGCACGTGGCAATTATTCTGTGATTGTATCACGTGCAGAAACAAGTGGACATTGTTTTAGAGAAGACGCCGGGACCAAGAATCCCAACAGCTGTGCTGTGAATCCCCAACAACAACAACAACAACAACAACAACAACATGTATGTTTTTATGGCGCTCCTGGGTGTTATTCTTTTTTAAAATCATGACCGGCAGAACTGTTAACGAGCACTCCGCGCCGAGCGGATGCTCACATTAACGCCCTTAATAAGCCTAAACCGCCGGGGCGGAAGGGTAGTTCGGAACGCGGAAGCCTTCCGGATTACCGTGAATAGTTTTTTAACCTAGTTAAGACCGAAAATTCACGAACCAGGAAGGGTGGGGGGAATCGCGAACCCCTCATCCCCTGAGTGGTTTGTGACCAAAAACACTTAAAGATATAAGTAAAACCAAACAAAAAGTAGTATAGTACCCAAGAGAAACAAAAAACATAAAAAAATTGCCGAAAAAACCAAAAACAGTAAAAAAGTAGAAAATCAGTAGAAATCATCCCCCCAGACAAGATGTGATCCAACCCCCCCGTTTGTTGTTGATAGATATATTGTTGTTACAGGCATTTATATCGGTCAAGATCGTTACGATCAGTTTTGTAGCCCGTTTGTGAGGCTTGTACTGTAGGGTTATTTGAGCATTTAAGCACGTTAATGATAAATTGCGCTCAATCCGGAAGGGTCAGCTGATTTGCGCTCAATTCGGAAGGGTCTTGGGAGAAGGCTGATCCGGCAAGCAGTACAAGGAGCAACAAGAAGAGGCTCAACAAAAACAACAATCGACTGTTGGGTATCGTTAACAAGTTTTGTATCCCTTTTGGTACCAAAGTTAAGATAGTAATCTGTGGGGGGCTCGACAGTGCTGCACTGTAGTGACCCTTCACCGAACTGCGAATATCCGAGTTAAGCACCTTAATTCGGATATTAAACAAACCCGGAGGGGTATAGTATTACTAACATTATTACTTATATAGCCTATATTAATAGTCTTATATCGTTTTTCAGTGAAAAACAACAAAAACAGACCG